GCCCATGGGTGTGCATGGGTCTCTCTCTCTCTCTCTCTGTGTGTGTGTGTGTGTGTGTGTGCAGGTTTGGGCTGCAGTACGTTGACTTCGACGCCCCGGAGCGGCCCCGCTACATGAAGGAGAGCGCCAAGTACCTGGGGACGCTGATTCCGTCTGTGCGGGCGCAGATCGACACCTGCAAGCTCAGCACACAATGAATGAGCTGATACACACGATGCATGGGAATTCCATAACATTACACCCACACACCCACACACCCACACAGCCACACAGCCAGACAGACAGACAAATGAGTTTGCCGCCCGCGTGTGTGCGCGTGAGTATATATGTTGTCGATATGATCGGTGGAATACTCCAGGTTTTTCGGTATGTGTAACTAATGTGGGAGTGGAGCGCCCCTCCCCAAGACAGAGGTAGATAAGTAGGTAGGTCCATGCCTTGCGTCGCATGAGATGTGCGTAAGGGCGTCGTGTGTCGTGTGGATGGATGGATGGAGGGATGGAGGGATGGATGGAGAAGTGGCCAGTGAATTCCTTTGACTGCCACCCATAGCTATCGTAGATGTGCACATGCGATTGCTGACACAGAGAGAGAGAGAGACCGGCCCGAAAGAGAGAGGTCCTCATTCGTTGTCTATCGACACATACACAGACAGACAGACAGAAAGAAGACATAGAGAGACCTTCGTGTGCATTGGTTGATTGATGCAGAGAGGCAAGCAAGGACATCTGTCTGTCTGTGCATCTGCGCGCGCGTGTGGTTGCGTATATATTTGTATGCACCAATCTATCCAATCCATCCAATCACACGAGACGATACAGCTGACGCACATACTGATCCACCCTTATCGGCCTGACATCACACACATACACAACCACAACCACAACCACATCACGACCCTCCCCTCTCCGTCTCCCTCCCTCATTTTAAGGCCCTACCGTCTCCATTTCTGCATGGCCAGCTCCTGCGACCGCTCCACAAGCGACACCCTCGACTCAGGCATCTTCCCCTCAGCAGCTTTACTCGTCTCAGGCAGCGGGGGGGCCGCGCCCTCCTCGTCCAGACGGAAGGCGTCGCCCCCACCGCTCGCCAACGCCATCGCGCCCTTGTCTCTCTCCCTGTCTCTGTCCCTGTCTCTGTCTCTCGCTCGGTCGGGAAACTTGTGCGCCGAGAACCGTTGGTAGTCGTTCTTGAAAGGGATCAAGCCCACTTTGGCGCACTTCAGGCGAGACACAGCAGCACCAGGCTGTGGCCTCTGCGGCTGCTGTGGCTGCTTTGGCTGCTTCACCCGCTTGGCCATGGTGTGTGTAGCCGTAGCCTTCTGCATCACCGGGCTGCGCATCACGGGCGTCGACCGCACACTCGCCCCCACAGAGTGGTGAGACACAGGCCGCGCACACGGAGCAGTGACGTGGGCCGCCGCCGCGTGGATTAGGGGGAAAGGTGTCGAGGTGAGGGACGGCGGATGCTGCTCGAGGGAAGAGCTCTCCAGTACGACAGAGTCCGACACGGCGGCCGTGATGGACATGATGGTGCCCATCAGGGGCGAGGGGCGGCTGGAAACCGGGGAGGGGGGGAGCGAGGGAGGTTTCCTGACGGGGGTGCCCCTTGCCGTCCGCCCATACTTCTCTGTGAATGCCGCTATGCGGTCCTGGCCCTTTCGCAGGGAGAACTGAGACTCAGACCTGCAAAGTGCACACAAAGACAGAGAAGGGCAGACATCTGGCGGCGCTTTGAGGACCGGTTGCAGACGATAGGGTTGTCCGACTCTTGCGTGTGGGTGGTTAGGTACCGTGGGAGCGCGTGTGGGGGGAAGGAGGAGCCTTCTGGCAGCTGAGGCGTCAAGACAGGCGTCTTGACCATCTTCCCTTTGTCCCTCTTGCCCGGATGTTTGCCAAGCGCCTTCTTTAGCGACACACCACCAGTGTCCCCATCACTACCAGCAGCAACAGCTGGTGGCGTCGGCGCTGCTGCCTTGGGTATCTCCAGCCTCGGCACGGCAGCTGCTGACACATGGTCCCCGTTGCCACTCCCATTCGTCCTAAGGCGGTCCTCCAGCGCTTCCCCCAGCGCCCTTTCGTCCAAAAGGGCCAGCAGCGCCCTGGACGCGTTGACAGACCGGTGCACCAGATGGGCGGTCGTGACACTCTTGCAGGCAAGCGGCGAATCACCGGCAGGGGGAGGCCGTGTGCAGACAGAGGCTGTCGTGCCTTTCTGGCTGCGCAGCCAGGCTCTTTCGAATGGCCGCAGGTCGATGGGCTTCCGGGTGTCGCTATCCTGCTTCAGAAGCCGCCATTGGAAGGACGGTGGGTGAGAGGCCGAAATGACCATGCCTCGCTGGTGCTGCTGCTGGCGAGGCTCGTCGGCTGGTGGTGGACTGCTGCTGCTCCCCTGTGTCTCGGCTGAAGCGTCTTCCTTGAGCAGACATGCGAGAGCAGTGTGCTCAGAGCAGAGACAGCAGGACAGCGGGCCTTGCCTGTTGGCACGTCCTTTGTGGAGAGACAGCTGGTAGGCGAGATCGCGGCCGTGCTTGAAGGGGGACGGGGGGAGCATCGATGAGGACAGCACAAGACACGCCTGCCACGCCATCCGCCTCTCGTCCCACATGAGCGAGTGCAGCTCTCTCCTGCCGCTGGGGAGGGGCGAGGCCACCGTCAGTTCGTAGCTGCTAATATTGACCGCTTTCTTGACAGATGTTATGTGGGTGGTGAGAGAGCTGGCCATCTCGTCTCGCCTCAGGTGCCTTCTGTCCATCAGCAGCAACAGCAGTCCGTCGCCCACACAGGGGCAGGCCTTGACGCCCGTGCTGTTGCTCCCATCGCTCCCACCGCCCCCACTGTTGGCAGACGCCCGTCTCTGGAACATGCGGGCGCGAAACGCGCTCCATGCCGACTGCAGGCATCGCAGCGGCCCTCCCCTGTCAGCACACAAGTCTTCGCCAGATACTGTACACAGCAGCCGAGAGAGGGAGGGCGGGAAGGGCGAGAGGTCCGTGCAGCACTGCAGCAGGCCGGTCTCGAGCAAGAGGGCCACCACACAGGAGGCGGCTGCACGGGCGGAAGGCATGAGCGATTGAGGGAGAGACGGCGGCAGCTGAGAAAAGTTGGCGAGGATTGAGGGAATAGAAGGCTGGGAGGGAGAGGGAGAGGGGGAGGGGGGGCCGTCATCGACTCGTTGTGACTGGGATTGGTATGAATCGAGAAAAGGCAGCAGGTGGGCGGGGGAGAGACAGGAGCGGATCATAGCAAACAGCCGGCCCACGACGATCCTCTCCTCCTCAGATGCGCTGGAAAAGGACAGATTGGGGTTTTTCTCGTCCATGCAGGACTCGACGCGCCTCATTCCAGCCACAAACAGATCCGCTTCCCTTCTGTCGTGTGCACGCGACTTCCTCCCACCACCACCATAAATGAACTCACCGACAAACCTCTCCACCGGCAGCAAGAGATCTCCCCCATCACCATATTCGTCGTCAGGGCAGTCGAATGAGTCATAGAGGATGACCATCACGCCCACAAGCAGGTAGTCAGGCGATCGGGCGAGGCATGAGGTCAGATCGTCAATCAGAGGCGCGGTCCGCCAGTGTGGGGCGAGGATGAGGTGCAGGGTGTGGAAGAGCAGGTCGTCGGACAGCCACCTGTGGAGAAATGCGAGCAGCGTCAGGGCCAGAAGGATCCGCTGGGAGAGGGGCAACGCCAAGAGTTGCTATGGACAGACAGACAGGCAGAGAGACGTGTGCAGACGTCGTGTGCAGGCGTGTGTACTTACCTCTATAGGCACCCTGGTTGTCTCCTCCGCGATGGTGGTTGTGGTGGTGGCTGCCTGTCTCCTTCTCTCATTCCTTACTGCCGCAATGGCATGCCGCCGATTCCACATCTCAACGAGACACCGCAACCTATCGCCGTCATCCTGCATGCACCAAATACACACAACAGAACACAACAGCCGCTTAATGCGTATCTGCGTCTAATCCATCGCACCCACCGTGGTGACCCACCTCCATAAGGTGCATCTTCCTCCCCCAGAACTCAACAGCATATCTGGATGGCGTGGATGCGTCGACATCCACAGGGTGGCGGGGCAGCAGCCACTCACGGTCGACCGGCACGAGGGCATACGAAGGCGGGGACCTGACCCTTGCAGGCTGGTACACATCCACCTGGTTGGCCATCGAGAACGCCGACACGCCCGCCACACTCAGCGTCTCCGTGTCTCGCGCTGCTGGTGGGCGCCTCCTCTCTGTTCGTCGATCGGCACCCTTCTGCTGCTGCTGCTGCTGCTGTGCGTGGTGCTGTGGCTGCAACAGTTGCACCACAGACACACCTGGCATCACATCGACCGGCGTCTCCGTGTCTCTCTCCGGCACTGGCGATCGGATCCCCCCTGACGAGGCGGCTCCCAGCGAGGCTGCAGATGAGGGCCGCTGGCCAAGCGGAGCGGGTAGAAGGGATCGTGCCGAGGCCAGCGGTCTGTGGCTGGCCTGCTCTTTCTCCAGGGATTTCCGGAGGGAGTCGAGTTCGGTCAGACAGAAGGTGGACGAGAGGGTGGGGGGTGGGGGAGACGTGTAGAACTCCTCCTCACAGTGCAGGGAAGGCTCTGAGGGCGGCTCCAGCTGAGAATGGGCGGGCTCCGCCTGCTCGTGTTCTTGTTGTTGCTCTTGCTCTGCTGGCGCGACAGTCAGCTGCAGCTGTGGCTGCTCGGTGACGGCATGGTCGAGCTCGTCTTGTGCTTGCTGCCGCTCTCTGTGTTCTCTTCTCTCTCTCCTCTCTTTCGCCAGACGGCGGTCCTTCTCGAAGAGAAACATCCCGTTGATCACCCACACCTACACACCCACCAGAAGAAGATGTGACCTTACGCAGCGGTGGGTCGGATGCATGTGCGGCGTGCGTGCATGGGGACCTTGGGCAGCGTCTCCATCAGCCTCCTCCGCCGCGCCTCGCCCGCCACCAGCTGCTTGGGCAACACCAAATCGAGAACAATCACATCTTCCAGCGCCTCCAGAGCATCGATACTGAGCGGGTTGTGCGACAGGTCCAGGAACAGCAGCACCCTCGCGCCGCGCAACGACTCGAGAGATGCCTGACTCAGAAAATTGAACGACAGGTCCAGGCAGTACAGTTCGCGAAAGAGGGGGTCCGACAGAGACGGCGCGGAGGTCAAGCGATTGGTGCTCAAGTCGACAGCCTCGAAGAAGGGGCCGAGAGGCACCTTAGTAGGCTTCCTGACGTCCTGCTGTTTCCTCTGCTGTCTGTTTGGGGGGACTTGTGCGTGTTCGGCGAGGGGGAGGAGGGAGGTGTAGCCGTGGACCGTTCCAAGACAGAGCTGCGACAAATCCAGCAGGGGGCAGGGCGTCTGCGTTGTGTCCATGTTGTGACAGACGTGTTTCTTTGGCACGATGAGAACGCTGCAGTGGGGCGATCGGAAAGTGTGTTTACAGTTGTCGAGCCTCCCCTCTGCGAAAAAGGCCAGGAACACACACTCGTCAGATCTGAGCGGCGTCAGCGCCAGAGTGTGTCAAAAGGCGGGCCATGTTTCTGACAGGAGCATTCGCCGTCTTCACCGCCCTCTTTCGCACCGTTGCCCAAGGCGCCAACACCCACCAGGCGGGGGTCAGCAAACAGGAACAGATCCATCCATCCATCCGTCCATCCATCCGTCCATCCGCCCATGGCACTCATCCTTTGTGTGCAGAGCTCTGCAGCCGTCCTCCGCTCTGTGGCCTCGCCCAAGAATGCCTATGCTCTTCACCAGCAACACTCCGACCACCACCACCGCCACACCAAGCAAGTGGCCACGTCGACAGCCCACACCGTGACCAAGCAGATGGGCTTCGAGTACCGCCTCCGCGTGTGCAATGCCTACCCATACCAGGCGGCTATCGACATCTACCACAAAAACACACAGCTGACCAAGGACGCTCCGCTGCCCTACAAGCACTGCAAGGACTTCGAGAGCCGACTTGCAATGGGGGACAAAATTGAATTCACTGTGGATGGTGTGTATGTCTGCTTGCATGGCGGCGGGGGGACCAACACACACACACACACACACACACGCGGCGGGCAAGTGCATCAGATTCTCTGTCTGTGTGTGTGTGCGGGCAGATACGAATGCGGGGACCTTCTCGGTGGCCGAGTTGCCGCCCCACGATGCGGTGCTGCTGCTGGTTATCTACCGCCACGACACCCTGTCGACTGCCGTGTCGTTCGAGCCACACGTGTACGCCAACCTCCTCAACGCGCAGATCGCCATCATCGACACTTACAAGGTGAGCGAGCCGGCATGATGGCGAGAGATGCAAAGACAGACAGGCAGACAGACGTATCTGTGTGTGTCGGTGTGTGTGTCGGTGTGTGTGTGCAGGGCAGCGCCAAGGCTCGTTTGTCCATAGACGACCATCCTGACTCCAAGTCGTCTCGGTCTGAGGAGCTGAGGTTCGACTCTGTCGTGGCCGTCAATGAGGGACGATACAGGCACGCAACATGGGGAGGGAGGGAGGGGCGCTGAATGAACAGGCCGACAAGCATTCGACTTTTTCAGGGCTGTGTTGAGCAGTGAAGGCGGCGAAGAGATTGCCAGTGCACCTATCGTGTGCCTTAACAAGTAAGTACTGGGGGAACGAACGGCGTCGCCCCGACTGATTTCAGCACTGGCATCCGTGCTGTTTGTTGTGTGGTGTGCAGGGAGTCGTATGTGATACTTCGCGTCGGTGTCGAGTCGCAGTCGGGCAAGAGCTACCCACAGGTATGTATGGATGTGTCAGCGTAGATGTCGTGTCGGTCTGTCGGGCGGGGCACACAACACAACACAGGCAGCAGCAACCACGGATTTGGGCGTCTGTTTTGTGTCTGTTTGTCTGTTTGTGCGCTGCTCACTTACTGCAGGAGTTGGTGGTGTACCCGATGTCAGACCCCTACTACCTCAGCGGGGCCTTCTCGTCAAAGGCACTGTCAGCCGTATCCTCCCTCCTGCTGGCCATCTTCATCGCCATACAACTCACATGAATCATACCGACATAGACCTAGGCAAGCCGTACACACAACCCAGCCATGGCATTAGAGGCCCTGCTTATGTGTCTGTGTGTCCGTGTTGTCTGTGCAGGCAATATGCGTGTGTGCGTGA